TAAATTGATTTGAAAATTTTAAATTCAAATTATACCAGTCTTAAAATGCTTCAAATTTGAGTCGGTTTATCAAGCCAAGATATTGCATGAATTACTAATGTATTTTCCTTCAGTGGTCAGATAAAGTTAGCAAAAAACCAATAATATATTTCAGCACGACATACAAGATAAAAGTTTTTCAAACATTCTAAATGCTATCCTAAAATTGTTGCCATTTGTGCACAGAAACAAAGGTTACTACAGAAAATGATTCTCAACTAAAGTCTGCTCTCAAATGACAACTTGACAAAAAAAGACTTGATAAAATTGACTTGACAAAAAAGACTTGACAAAAAAAGACATGACAAAAAAAATTTGACTTAAAAAGACTTGACAAAAAAGACTAGACAAAAAAGATTTGACAAAAAAAGACTTTGACTTGACAAAAAGACTTTGACTTGACAAAAAAAGACTAGACAAAAAAGACTTGACAAAAAAGACATGACAAAAAATAGACAAAAAAGACTAGACAAAAAAGACTTGACAAAAAAGACTGAGCTAACTTACGATCACAGAGTTCATAATATCCTTTATATTTTTTACAGAATCCTCGTCTTTCATCATTTCTATGGACTTCAGGATCAGGAATAATCTGTCTTCCAGTTACTACAGGGGGGTAGAATCGGTACCAAATTATACTGATAATCATTCAAGATGTGCTTACTACCTTGACATCTTTTCGCACTTTTCTTGCAGGACTGAAGTTTGTAAGAATTTGATTGGATTGTACACAAGCGAATACAGCCAATCAGTGCCCCCAACCTAAACAATCAGCCATAATGTTTACTGTTGAGGATTCTGATTGGCTATATCTGCGTACAATTCAATCAAATCGCTCCATTCAGTGATACAAGAATAGTATCTGATGATGTTAAGGAATTAGAAACAGTAATAGCTTGACATTGTTTGTGGGGCAATGGGAGATGGCAAACTCCATCCATTCTTAATAAGGAACATTTTGCCAGCAAAATACTATTAGAACACTCTTTTTGCCATGTCTTACGGTGGAGAATCTTTCCTTTGCTTGCATGGACTTGAAGCATTATTGTTTTATCTATATAATTCATCCTAGGCCTATCCATTAGGGAGAATCACACCCTCCCTTCCCCAAAAAGTAATGCAATGTTGTCTGAGTGCTGCATTTTATTCATTCATTATATTTAAAGATTTGAAAAATTTATCGATAAAAGAAAAATAAAATAATCTTACTTTTCTTTGGTACACAAAAGGAATTCTCTAAAGCTTTTGGCCATTCTCCATCTACACCAGCATAGCTTATCTACAAATAAAAAGATTAGTTAAATGTAAAATAGAACACATTGGGGTTATAGGGCATATATGCTGTGTGTAGGGAACATTTTACCCTAAACTGGACTTGTTAAAGATGGGTTTCCTTGTTTTTTTAGTATCAAATTAAGCTATTTGATTAATTGGTGTTTCTGATGAATTATCATGTATGTTCTTATTGCATATAATTGAGAGTTTTAACCAATCATAAATGTCCATGTATGCACAGTCTGGATAAACAAAAAAGACTTTTTGATCGGTAACTCATTGGAA